TACTCACAATATACGGGTTCGAATCTCATCACCGAATATGCTCGTTTGTCCTTTCAGCCGTGGGGGGGGGGGGGTGTTATGATACGACCATCAATCCCACTATTCGGTTAGAGTAGCCCAAGAGTTGGCGGTGAGTGGTATAGCTTGGCGAGGAATTGAACAAAAAAAAATAACTTAATTTTCCATACTCACCTTTTCAGCCGTGAGAGCGTTGTAATGTGACGGTCAATCCCACTATTCGTTGGTAAAAGAGTAGCCCAAGAGTTGGCGGTGGGTGGTGATGACTAGCTGCCTTCCCTCTAGTCTTACACTGTTAAATTATGGATGGCTAGCGCAGATAGCCCTCGTGTAGCTTTGCGCGAAATTCAAATAAAAAAAACATTGTTTATGTACGCTCAAACCCATTTTCCAAAATTCTTCACTTAACACCTAAGACTAAAAGACTGTATTAAAGGTTAATATTACTTTTATTATTATCTTTTATTAGAACGTATAAGGCCTGCTCTAAAATACACAAAAGTACCTATAAGTGTCCGGAGCGGTGCATGTCACTTTCCCCCCATCTCGCGCTTTTCCCGATACAGTAGTTGTACAAGAATCAGTTCTGCAATAAAAAAAGTATGTGACGTACACCAAATGCCCTCCCAATGGCACAGCGGTATGTCTGCGGACTTACAACGCTAGAATCGGTGTTTCGATACCCGTGGTGGACAGAGCACAGATAGCCCATTGTGTAGCTTTGTGCTTAATTACAAACAAACCTTACACCAAATATAGTTTCGTATTACTTAAATCGCGAAGATTTGGCCGGATTTGTTATTTAACACGTGTCACAACCCTATTTGTCACCTTCATTTTATTTGATATTTAATTGCAGATAATCGAGCAGCTTAAAATTTCAAAACCTTCTTTTAAAATCAATATTCATTAATGAGGATAATATCCATCATGCTTTACACGTGCAGTTTGAAATAATACTTTACACGTGCAGTTTGAAATAATACTTTACACGTGCAGTTTGAAATAATACTTTACACGTGCAGTTTGAGATAATACTTTACACGCACAGTGTGAAATAATACTTTACACGTGCAGTTTAAAATAATACTTTACACGTGCAGTTTGAAATAATACTTTACACGTGCAGTTTGAAATAATACTTTACACGTGCAGTTTGAAATAATACTTTACACGTGCAGTTTGAAGTAATACGTTACACGTACACTTTGAGATAATACTTTACACGTGCAGTTTGAAATAATACGTTACACGTACACTTTGAGATAATACTATACACGCACAGTTTGAAATAATACTTTACACGTGCAGTTTGAAATAATACTTTACACGTACAGTTTAAAATAATACTTTATACGCGCAGTTTGAAATAATACTTTACACGCACAGTTTAAAATAATACTTTACACGCACAGTTTAAAATAATACTTTACACGCACAGTTTGAAATAATACTTTACACGCGCAGTTTGAGATAATACTTTTTACGTGCAGTTTGAAATAATACTTTTTACGTGCAGTTTGAAATAATACTTTACACGTGCAGTTTGAAATAATACTTTACACGCACAGTTTGAAATAATACTTTACACGCGCAGTTTGAAATAATACTTTACACGCGCAGTTTGAAATAATACTTTACACGCGCAGTTTGAAATAATACTTTACACGCACAGTTTGAAATAATACTTTACACGTACAGTTTAAAATAATACTTTATACGCGCAGTTTGAAATAATACTTTACACACACAGTTTAAAATAATACTTTACACGCACAGTTTAAAATAATACTATACACGCACAGTTTGAAATAACACTTTACACGCGCAGTTTGAAATAATACTATACACGTACAGTTTGAAATAATACTTTACACGCGCAGTTTGAAATAATACTTTACACGCACAGTTTAAAATAATACTTTACACGCACAGTGTGAATATATACACGTGCAGTTTGAAATAATACTTTACACGCACAGTTTGAAATAATACTTTACACGCACAGTTTAAAATAATACTTTACACGTGCAGTTTGAAATAATACTTTACACGCACAGTTTGAAATAATACTTTACACGCACAGTGTGAAATAATACTTTACACGCACAGTTTGAAATAATACTTTACACGTGCAGTTTGAAATAATACTTTACACGCACAGTTTGAAATAATACTTTACACGCACAGTGTGAAATAATACTTTACACGTGCAGTTTGAAATAATACTTTACACGTG